GCCAGGAGGGACCAGTCCTTGGAGAAGGACATCATGCTTGGAAGAATGGAGGGACAGTGCAGGAGAGGAAGACCCTGGGTGAGATGGAATGACACAGTAACTGGGTTAAATAGGGTTAGGTGTGTTAGAAACAGTAGAGACTGACTCAGGATAGGACAGTATTCAAAGATGTGTATAGATTCACATTGAGTCAGAAGTGACTCAGTGGCACATAACAACAAGAATAATCTATTTTTCAATTCTTCTGTCATCCTTAATCATTGTCCAGTTTTCAGATGATTAGCAAGGAATTAAAATTACCATGGTTTGGATCAGACACACCATAGTCTTTAAACTGAAATTGTTGCTCTTTACCACTTTGGAGAGGTCATTGATGGAAGAAGACTTGATGCTTTTGAATTGTAGTAATGATGAAAAGGTGTTTTCTACTCCATGGATAGCCAAAAGAACAAATCAGTCTTGTCTTAAAGTATAACCAGAATACTTCTTAAGAGGCAAAGATTGTGAAATGTCATCTCACATACTTTGGGCATGTTAGCAGTAACTTCCAGTCCTCAGACAAAGGCATCATGCTGGGAAAGGTAGAAGATCAGAGAAAGATAGAAAAACCCTCAAAAAATATGGTGTGACAGGGTGCTTGTACCAACGGGGTTGAGTATATTGGAGGTTGTGAGGATGGCATGAGATAGGACGATGTCAGATTTGTTTTTTTTGAAAGTTGCGATAAGTCATTTTCAAATCAGCAGCAGCTATGTCAGTCAGTGCTCTGGTGGCCTACAGCCTCAGAACATGCTAGAGGTCAACTATGCGTCAGTTATGACACGATAGGTATGAGTTGAGTGACTTCTAGAACTTTGCTGTACTTGGATGTGTTTATTAATATAGACATTTGTGTTGTGTAACTGGATTTATTTATAATAAATTTAGGAAAAATGTGAGTCTTTAAATGTTTATAGTATATTTTCATTCTACCTCATTTGCCTGGATTTTGTTCTGTGTTTAGCTTTCAGACTTCACACTGGGAGATCTACCTGGGACTAGTAGAATTTGATATGCTCTGTGGCAACATTATGCCTATTTATGTGGAAAGTACAAAATGCTTAGACAAGATCTATTTTAAATAATGGAGATAAGCTATGTACAGAATATTTCTGGGTACAGAATATTTTACTCCTTAAGTGTTATGCTTTGTTACAATATAGTATTTGCAAGCTTTGTTTTTCATTAGTTTAGCCTAGACTAATTTTAATAATTAGAATATGAATCAAAAGAATTCTGTTGTGTAGGATCTCAAAAGAGATTGCAAATGTGTTAATGGTTTGTATTTTCTTCAACCTAAATGGTATTCTTTTCAGCCATTAGTAGCATAAATTTTGGTAATGGAAGACTACTAATTATGAGTTCTGGCTGGCTAGTTGGCAAGGATTCACACTCCCAACCCAAAGAGAGACAATTCAGATCTACCAGCTTACTCTGTTGAAGAAAGATTGGCAGTTTCCTCCTATGTGATTTTCAGTGTCAGAAAAACCACTGGAGGATTAGCTGTGAGTTGGTTCTAATTGAATTGTAATGGATTTTCTTGTTTTGGGCTTTCTTAAATAACACAGTGAACTAGTTTTTTAAATTGCTAACATTATAGGTAAGTAAATTCCAAAATTCTTCAAAATAAGATGAAAATAGAATAAGATTTTTAGCTTGAATATTTGTCACATTGCTAAGAGTGTAATTGATTATTTTGATATATGTTTGTGCTACACAATGTTTTATAAGTTATATGTTTTTGGGGTTTTTTTTATTAAATTTTATTAGTTTTAATGAACATTTACAGAGATTTTGGGTTTTCATTCATTCATTGTTACACTGTTTTCTCCACCCTCATCCCCAGTTCGTTCTTCCCCACCCATGTCTGTTTTAATTGTCCAATTGCCACAGTGCTTGTCAAAGTTAGTTCTGATTAATCTCCTTTGTCAGTGTGTCCCTTGCCATTCCCTATCACTCCTCACTGAGAGAGACTTCACCCTGATTCATAAGGAAAAGGGGATGGCGTATTCTCTTAGCTACTTCCTGCTGAAAAGGGACGCTGTGGGTTTCAGGGTGAAGGTCTTCTCTCACTACTCTAAAGGGCCCCTTTGGCAGTAGGAAACACATAGACTATTATGGAGATTGATTTTGGAATTTAGATGCACTGTTATCAATTGTGCTTAGCCGTACATGTTCATATCCTTGAAGATGTATCATGGAAGTGTTGCAGCCTAGAAGATACAAATTTAACAAGTTAAAAGTGCATGAGTCAAAAATTGAAAAGCAATAATATTCTGAGTAGAGGTTCTAATAGTGGCACAAATCAAGTTACAGAGGTAAGGTGGTTCCATTGCCATCCTTACTCTAACTTAATTCTTTTTTTTTTTTTTAATTTAAATTTGTTATTAATTTCAATGAAAATTTACAGAGGATTTGGATTTCCATTCATTCATTGTTGTAGATTTGTCCCCTCCCAAGGCTCCCCCCCACCAGACATTACCCTCTTGGAAAAGTAAAAGAAAAGATTCTTTCATTATTTTACAAACCCTCCCCCAGGTCCACTCCACCACGTAGCCATCGCTCTAGACTCCTGTCATGACCGAAATACCTAATCACATATCTCTTTTAAACAGTTTTCTCCCTTCTCTGTTTCAGAGCAGCATACATTATTGAACCCATCTTACTCAGTCTCTCCCCAACCCCAAGGACAGTCCCATTCTACAACAGTGGCAGCATGCAATATTTGTCCCTTTGTGACTGGGACATTTCACTCAGCATAATGTTCTCCAGAGTCAACCATTTTGAGTAATATTGCATGAGTTCCTTGTTTTTCAATGCAGCATAGTATTCCATTGTACGAATATACCACAGCTTCTCTAGCCATTCGTTTGTTGATGGGCACTCAGGTTGTTTCCAACTCCTTGCTATTGTGAACAAAGCTGCAATAAACACGGGTGTGCATATATCTGCTTGGGTGTCAGTTATGGTCTCTTCTGGGTATATTCCCAGTAGTGGTATTGCGGGGTCAAATGGTATCTCTATTTGCACCTTTTTGAGAAAGCGCCATATGTTTAATTATATGTTTAAATACAAATTTAAGCTTCACTGAAACAGTGGTAAATAGGCTTCTAGATAAGTAATCCTTTTTTAACTTTCTCTACTCAACCTAGAATGACAAAACTGATGGAACTAGCAAATCTTCAGCCTAAAAGACCAAAACCAGTAAAGCAACACCATGTGAGGAAAAAACGAAAAATAAAAGATATGTTAAAGACACCTTCATCTGTTTCACACAGGTAACTTGGTTGTGGATTATGGTTAGTTTTGTTTGTGCTTTTTCTAATTGTTTATTATATCATTTTATATTCATGGCTTTTAGGTCCTTTCTTTGTATTGGTTCTTTATTTGCTTCCTCTTTTCCAAATTTATAAGAATTTACAATTTCCTCACAAGTGACCAGCTTTTCAGTGTTACATTGTCTATCCCAGAACTCAAAATTTTTTATCCTAATTTTACGTTTCCTTTTTCTGTTTCTTCCAATATTTCTGTGTATATTTTTCTTCATTAAAATATTTGGTTCTATATGCAGGTGCCTTTGATAGTCTGTTGATATATTTTTACTGTTTTGTTGTTCTTGATTCATTTTTATAATTTCAGTGATTACAGCTAATGAATACCAAATATCTATGTTGAAGTTTGACCTTTCTCTTAAGACCATAAACTGTCATTTTCCAGATGATAAGGATGGCACAGTATAGGACAGTGTTTAGATCTATTGTTAATGAAATGCCACCATGTGTTAAAATGAAATTACATTTATTTATTCCTAGTTCACTACTGATAATCAGATATTTTTCAACTTCAATCTACACATTCAGTAAGCATTCATAAATCTTAGTTTGCTCACAGGATCCACCATAGTACTATTGAAAATGGGTGTTTCAATATAAATAGAAATATTACATACTTATTGCATAGTAAAGATTTTCCTAAAAATTGTGTCTGATCTGGAGCATACTTTTAAAGCTAAATGCAATTTTTTTAAAGCAGTGAATTAATCTTAGGGGTAGGAAAACAAATGTATAGGTGATTATTTTAAAAATTAAAATATTGTTATAAGGAAAAGTTACAAAGCATACCGATAGAGTTGAGATTTGAAAAAGAGGGTCATAACTATAAAATCTGAGAAGGCTTTGAGAAGTAGAAGATAGTAGAGGTAGTCCTTAAAGGAAAATAGATTAAAATTAACTAGAGAATGAACATCCATTGTAAAGGAAAGCAAAGTATTCTGAACATTTCTGAGGTAGTAAAGTTTGATGAGTAGGAATTTGCTGTTTGATGATTTGAATTTGATGAAAGAACACTAAAAGAATGTGGAGAAATCTGCCTTAAGTGTGGAACTATACTAAGAACAGTTGAGTCAATTCTGATTGTTTGGAATCCAACTTATAACAAAAAAATCCTGCATGGTCTTGTACATTCCTCAAAGCCTCACAGTGATTTTACAGTTGTTAAAACCACTATATTAATCCATCTTGTTGTTTGAGAGTCATCTTCTTTCTCCTTTACCCTCTACCAAGCATGGTATCCTTCTCCGGAAACTGATCCTGCCTGATAAATTAAACAAAGTTCATGAAGCAAAATCTTGCCATCTTCAGTTTTAAGGAGTATTCCAAGACAAATTTATTCTTCTTATAATCTGTGTTACATTTAATATACTTGATCAGTCCCAAATCAAAGACATTGATATTAACAAAACGTTGTCCTAGGGAATTTTATTGCAGACACCATTGAAATAACATGTGATTAGTACTTACTCTGTTGAACAGAATATTTGTTTGTTTGTGAAATATATGTATGAAAACAGATAAATAAAACAGATTTAAATATAAGTTTAAATAAAGTTAGCTGTTTTGCATATTATTAATTATCTTGGTTTTAGAGTAATAGTCCTCAAATCCTATTTCTGAATTTTATGCAAATTACTTTACATGTCCTAACCTAATGTCTTTATCTGGAACTAAGAATTTAATGTTAGGAGCTCAGGTGATATAGTCTGTAGTGGGGATCACTGCTTGCCCAAAGTTCCAGCTTTCATTTCTACCCACATGAGAAAGATGAGTCTCCTCTGTTGTGATTTACAGCCTCAAGAAACCTGATGGCCGGTCAGGTTTGAATTGGAACAGACAGTAGGGAAAAAGGGGAATATAGTAAAATCCATATTAGAGGTTTATTAGAATTTTTTGATGTATTAAATGTAAAACTTTGTGTAATAGTTGTAGTGTAGCGAATATAAACAAAGTCAATGAATGCAAGTATAAACTATGCTCTGATTGTTTTTAAATAGTAATTTACATCCGGTGCTGTTACCTTCAGACGTATTTGACCAACCACAACCTGTAGGTAATAAAAAAATTGAATTCCATATATCTACTGGCATGCCTGGAGCAACTAAGAAAGATTTAGAAAAGGAAGAAAATTGTGAGGAAGAAAATCACGGTAAGCATATTCTAGTGTAATCATACACTGTGCAAACATTTTATTTCATTTGCTTTCTATGTTGGAATTAAGTTTTTGGCAGTGTTTTCTAAATTGTATTACAGGTGATTGGTAGTTCAAATATGGAATAGATTCTTTTCACAATTAAATTGTGTCATGTTTCATATTTATTTTTAAAATTCAGATCAGTACTATATAGAATTATTATATTTGCTGGTACTGAACTGTAGGACGAAATTTGTTATGTTTTTGCTAGTATTGACACTGAAAATAGAATGTTAAGAGGGTTGGTTTTGTGGTTTTTAAATTTTATTTTATGTGCTAGTTCATGGTCTTTTCTTAGTATAACTATTTTTTTTTAAATTTTTATTCATTTTAATGAATATTTACAAAGATTTTAGATTTCCATTCATTCATTGTTACATTTTTTACCTGTCCACCCCTCCCCCCAGTTCGCTCTTCTCTTTGAAAAGAAGTAAAAGAAAAATTCGTTCATTGGTATACAATACACACACACACGTGCTGCACGCCCCGAGCACATTCCACTATGCAGCCTTCATTCTGGACTCTTGTTATAACCATAATACCCAATCATATGTAGCTTTTAAACTGTTCTCTCCCTCATCTGTTTGAATGCAGTATACATAATTTATCCAGTTTTTCTCAGTCTTTTCCCCAACCCTGATGTCAGTTCTGTTCTACAACAGTGGCACTATACAATATACTATTAGAAATAACCAGTGTGATTAACCTGTGAGTTGTGGTTTTTAGGTAAATACTTTTTTTTAATACAAAAAACTAAATTTTAAAAATCTTTTTACTGAGAGATTTCTTAATGGCTAATATTCATATTAAACTCTTAGATTTGTCTGATACTGAAGTTGATACAACTAATGTAGGATTTGGAAAAATCTTCCCAACACCTAATTTGAACATCACAGAAGATGTTAAAGAAGACTCTGATGAAATGCCTTCAGAATTTATTTCTAGGAAAGAGTTGAAAAAGGGCAAAATCTCTAAAGAAGGTAATTTTATTAAATAATTCAGCATTTATTTTCTTTTACATTTCTTTATACAAGAGCAAATCCTTTCATGTTCTTTAGCTTAATTTAAGACATAATCACTTGCTTTGCTTTACTTCATAGAAGAGAGGTATCACTCATTTGAGCCTATATTTTTATGGGAAAAATTTTTAATTCCTAAAATTTTATAGGACATTTTAAACATAGATGTCCCACAAATCTGCAATATTATACATTATCAATACAGTGGACTACCACAATATTATATATGACATTGCTAGGAATTTTTTAAGTATTTAGGGATTAGTGATCTACATTGGAAGATTTTATTTCTGTAGGAATTTTGTGATGATGATAATACAGTTTTAGACTATATCAGGCTTTAGATGAAATATAACTGATAGACTTTTAGGTAACGTTTTTGCAGAGACCATCTGGTTGTCAAGCAGAGTCTGTCATTGTCAATTCAGTACTTACAGTAAATGTCCCAGAGTGTTTGCGGATGTTATAAATCACACATGAATAGATTGACATTTGCGCCACCTGCCTTTTGGGTTTGCAGCAAAACTTACCCTCTAGAGCTCCTACAGAAACAGATTGTTATTGTGTACTGTTGACTCAGAGCAGACCAATAGCTGACTTGGAGATTACACTTCTTTAATCTGTATTGCAGCTAGTGGATTGAAGCTTGTACCTTTGCATTGGCAGCACAGTTCTTACGAATAAGCCACCAGAAGTCTCTCAGGAACAGATTATTGTTGTTGTCAATAATCTTTGTTCAAAACCCCTCTAGTGAATTTTCAGAGATAATACATTGCATATGAGGTAACTGCCCCATCCCCTTTCAATGGAGAAGCTGTTTGATTTGAACTCTGCTTTGGGGATTGCAGCGCAGCTTGCTTGTAAAGAAGGTTTTACAAACCACAGTTTGAATGAAATGCCCAATTATTTTTAGTATTTCATCCTTGTATTTGAATGGAAAGGAGACAAGTGTTTTTGGAAGGTCATTTTAAGTCAAGCAATTTTCTAAATGATTAATCTATCATCTACTCATCTATCAATTTATTCCAGTCTTTAATAGAAACTAATTTTAAAAGATGTTAGTAATTTATGTTTTATTTTTAGGGTGGTTGTTTATTTGTTTGTTTTTACCAGAGAAAGCAACTTTTAGTAGTAGTTTCTCCAGAAACAAAAAAGCCCATGTGCCTACTTTCACTTTCTCCTATCCCTCCAGGATCATTGATCCACTTGGGTTCTCTAAGGCCCAAGGTTTTTTTCCATTCTTTCTGTAGCTTAACTTAGAAGCTCAGTAGCAATACAGTTTTGGTTTTTCCCAGCATTTCCTGCTGTGGTGAGTTAGAAACAAGTAGGAATGGAGGACAGAGGAAGTAGTTAGATGAGTAGGAATACCATGTACAGGAACACTCAAACCTTGACTGTTAAAGAACCTCTGTTCTTCCTCAGTGATTTGATCCTCCATTTATTGCATTTCTCTTTGTGCTCAGCCACTGTATTTTGAATATTATCCAGAATTTCCAGGGCCCATCATGGATCTAGTCCAAGAGCCATGAGATGAGCTAGTCCATACTTAGCTACATTCTTGTTCCATAAAGCCTTGAAATGATTAGTCAGCCATGTTTTGCCACCCCTATACATCTCTGCTGTTTTTCCATCCAGTTCAGGGACTGAACTCCAACTTCTGGAGGTTTAGTGGGATATATGAGCAGAATGTCAAATTCATGTTAAGGAGGTTATGGATGTACCAGCATTTTCCAAACTGCTGAGTCTCTTCCTTATTGGAGTCCACTTGGAACCAACCATGGTCTGCATTCATATTGCTCTCCTTATTCATACAGAATAAGGAACTGGTATTCCTCCTTTAGTTTCAGGGTCCAGTGTTAGTCTTCAGGACAGGGATCTCTGACACCATACACGAGGTGTCCTTATATAAGAAAAGTTTGTTTTCTTTCCATTTAACAAATTCAAATTTTTAATGAAAAATTTTTTTTTTTCGGGAGACTTAACCTTGCTAATAATTTCTATGGTTTAACATTTTAATAATTAATTTTTTTACTTACTACTTTTGTATGAATGTTGTTACAGTTTATATTTGGAAGCATCCTAATTGTATACCCCTTTTGAATTTTGCCCTTTATTAAGAAATGGAAACACTTTCAATTTTCAGAAGTTATGAACCTGGTGAACCAAACTGTAGAATATATGTAAAGAATTTAGCCAAACATGTACAAGAAAAGGTAAGTAAAAATTTAGGATTGAATTTATTAATATTTTTAAGTTTTCTTTTTCTTTGACAACCTTATTTTTTTTTCCTTATTGAAATTATAGGACCTTAAATATATTTTTGGAAGATACGTTGACTTTTCATCAGAAACAGAACGGATTATGTAAGTGATGTCATAATCTCAAACTGTTTTATGTCTGTATCTAGTACGCATTTACTCCTTAACCTCATTTTCTCCCTGTCAACCAGCATTATCTTTTTAGAGATAAATACCATGAAGAACTTAATCCCCCACCTTCCCGCTCTATAATTAGTCTTTAAGGTGTCCATGGCAGAGGTCTGCAAACTTACTCTATAAATGGCCAAATAGTTCAAAATTAGTATTTTAATTTACTGTCAATTATGTAACATCTCAGTTTTGTTTTGTCCTTATCGAATAGAAATAGCCCTAAAGAGTATGTAAATGTATACTTAGGTCTGTGTTTCAGTGAAACGTAATAGAAAAAGGCCTGTTGCTGAATCGACCTCATCTTTGCTCTAGAATAGTAGTGGAAACTGCATAACAATCACTTGAAAACTATTAAAGTTATAAAGATCCTATCCTTCCACCTATAAGGTGTTTTCCCAGGTTGAGATCAGAATAAGACCCATTGCTGTTGAGTCAGTTCTGTCATAGCAATCCTGTTACTTGAGATAGAGCCTATACATTTGCATTTATTTCTTTTTTTTTGTTTTAAAAATTTTGTTTTTATTT